GTTCCACATTGAAACGGTCATAAAAGGAAAACTACTGGATCAAATGTTATCAAACTTGGTAATCGTGTAAAGGAGGTCATGGGAATTTATTTTCCGCGAAAAAAAGGAAGTTCGAAACCTCACCACCAGGGGGAAAAATGGCGCTGTATGCAATATTGTTAAACGAAATATGGGTCGGAATCTAACTTAACCTTTTGTTACACGGGTTTAATATGTTGTATACCCTTAAGAAACTTTGAAGTAGGCAAATTACCATTTAAAGGCGTTAAATTCGATAAAAGTCGAGTGCGCCATCCCTGTAAGTGAGAAATTCGTCCGTGAAAACCACGAATTAGCGATTAGAAAATGTGAGATCGCAAATCACTCGCACAAGTGCGTACAATCTGGAAATCGTTTTCTTACAGATCGCTAATTTGTAATTTTTGAAGCCTGAATTCGGCACTAAAACATGAAGATACTGATTCAAAACGCTTTTAATCGATTTGGGCCAAAGAAATCCCTCATGTTATCTATCTAGTTCCATTGCATTCTCCTACTGCATTCGATTGCATAGCAGTCATTCCACACCGTTTAGTGTTGAATGACAGCTAGTTTTATAACTGAACCATTTTTCTCTGAAGAGCAGTCGACAGCTGGACCACTGTGATTGCAGCTCACTTAGAGTCAATGTTAAAATGTTTCGTGATACATGAACTGCAGTAACGTGGCATTTTAGATACTACGATTTTTGCATGGGCTGGGCCCCCTGGTCGCATAGCCTCACCTCAGTGTCGCACACATTTTACGAATGAGCAACATTTCACGAAATGAACGTCTTATAGGCCAACACTTCCCCTCTTCCCACCAGACCTCAACCTCTGTGACTTTTGTCTATGGGGTTATCTCAAAAGCACTGTTTATGGTGATAATCTAAACAATTTTGGCAGAAATGAAAAAAATGTGATACACTGACATGTCCGTAACATTCCTCCTGATATGCTAAGAGCTGCTGTTGAGAATGCAGTAACAGGATTTAACTTGCTTTCGGAAAATGCTGGACGCTACATTGAACATGCTTTGTAACACGTTTCGGAAAATATTTAAACACATTTTAAACAGATGTTTTCGTGTCTTATTTCATTTAACAATATTGTATACAGCGCCATTTTCCCCCTGGTGGTGAGTTTTTTTGAACTCTTTTTTTTCCGCGGAAAATAAATTCTCATAACCTCCTTTACACGATTCCCAAGTTTGATAACATTTGGTCCGGTAGTTTTCCTTTTATGACCATTTCAAATTGGAACTTTAATTATAACCACCATGTAAAATTAAACTTTAAAAGTTTGACAGTTTGGTTCAAGTCCCAGCTTTAAAAATATATATATAAATATAATCTTTTATATTAATCCTCTTAGAAAGAATGTTTTAAGAAGCTAATTTTTCTCTCGCGTTATAGATTGTATAAAAAAAACATGATCTTTAATATGATTTAGATTGTTTCAGCCGATATAAGAATCGGGTTACTCGGTGGTACAGAATAAACCCTGCTGGACTGTTTTATTTCTTTGTCATTTAGCAAAAATCTTTTAATTAAAATATTTATCCTTTGGACTTCGCTTTAAACTTTATTTATAGTTAAAATGACTAGAAAATGAAAAGCTGTCTTCAGCTGAAACGCAATTCATGTAATTGATATTTTAAAAAATTGACAAGAATGCAAAATTTATGGAAGTCTAGCAATCGAAAAATCTTAATTTTCTTGTGTGAGCACTGAAAATAACTGTAGAAGGAAAGAAGAAAATTAGGGAGAAAAGTAAGCAAAATTTGCAGGGAAATTTGGCTGTCAGACATACCAAGATGTTGTTGACGCTTTTGAATATACTTTCGTTGAGAAGTTGGACGCTTTTGAATATACTTTCAGGATACTTCAAAGAATTTAGGTGTTCAAAGAGAAAACACTTGGACGTGTACACCAGCAAATACCATCAATTGAGCTTGTGTTAACAGAAAAGACAAAAACGATATCATTGCAGATTAAAGTGAAGAGCGACTGGTTTTAGACTATATGGTTGTATAATTTATTAAATTACGTTATAGAACATCATATCGTATCATAAATGGAGAATCCCATGATTTTCTCAGTCGAATTATTTGAAGATTCAGGAGTTTATCCAGTGATGTATGTGGATGTCACCTAAAGATGTTTTTTTTTCCTCCTGATGAAACAGCAACCAAGCGGTAAATCGCTCAACACTGGTAGTTCGGTCCGAGGTTCGAATCCAGCGAAAGGGCTGGCTGCATGGGCGTTTTCGTGGTTTTCCTCATGTGTAACGTGTATGCGAGCCAGTTTCCCTTAGAACGTCCTCCACGAAGGCATCCCTCCCCTTAGGCAGATAGCCCTAGTGTGCTTTGTCATAATTAAATAAACCAAAACCTCTTGATGAAACCAGTCTTTCCTTTCATCTCATGCCTTCAAAATGTTTAGCCTTTAAAGACTGATAAAGGCTCTGACCAAATACTGATGAAATTGGATTATTAATTTACGTCAAAGCAGGGCTATCTGCCTAAAAGGAAGGATGCCTTTGCGAAGAACTTTGTAAGGGAAACCAGCGGGCATACACGGTACACATGAGAAAATCCACGAAAACGCCCATGCAACCAGCCCGTTTACCGGGATTTGAACCCCGGAGTGAACTACCAGTGTTCAGCGACTTTACCGCTCGGCCGTTTGTGGGCCTTTATGAAATGGAAGGCGATAACTTTATTTAAAATGATTGTCAGAAATATCCAAGATATTTCGAAAAGTTTGGATACTTTTTAATATATACTTGCAGAATGCCTAAAGAAAAAGAGCAAGAATAAAGTAGAATGCCTGAAGAAAAAGAAAGAAGAAAAAAAAATAATTTTTGCGTAAAATTTAGTATTTGTATTTTTTTTTAATTTAAAACTTTTTAATCTTATGATATTTGATTCTTGCGATTTCAAAAATAAAATATTTGACTAAAATATATGAATAACATTTTAAGAAACCAAATGTAGGATAAAATTGTGTAAAGCAATGGGCACAATGATAAAACTGTTTAAAGCAGTGTATGCAAGTCATCCTAAGTTAAAATGTCGGTTATACATCTCTCTCTTATTTATATATATATCTTTTCTGAACGGAACATTGAAAGGCGTGTTAAACTGTGCTTTACTGTATTTTTCTCTTTTAATATATGCAGTTTTCAAACGCATCGTAGTCTGGGTTACAAAGTATTCTTCCGAAAGAAACGCAATTCAAATAAATAAAATCAAATTCTGGAAAATTTATATTAATAAATATATTTAAAATGCTCAGTTCGAAGGAATAAATAGAAAATTTTAAAACAATTATCTGAAGAGACAATGCAACACAAACAATTAAAATAAAAGTATAAAATTTAAAAATTACCTAAAATAATAACTATGACAAAAAATATATAAAGAAAACTATTTGAAAAAAAAAATAAACGCTGCACCTTTATTTACGCAGTTCGAATAGGTAAATAGAAATTTTTAAAACAGTTATTCGAAAAAAAAAAACCATGCAACTTAAACAATTAAAATGAAATTCGAAAAAGAAAAAAATTACTTAAAATAATAAGTTATAATTAAAAATATAATATAAAGAATATTATTTGGAAAAAAGGAACGATGGTGACTTTTTTTCCTCTCACGGGAAAGGAAACTAGGTTGCCATATATTAAGAAGTTCGCCAAGTGAACTATTCTTGGCGCAAACTGACAAAAAAGTGCCAACATAAATTTGTGAATTTCTCCGTAAATTTCGCTCCAAATTTTACAAAATTTCATATTTAGGCGTAATTTGAGTCGTAGAATCGAAATATGTAAAAAAATTGGTATGTTATTTCAGAAAAAGTCCGATTTTGTGTCAAAATACCTATGTTAGAATAGTGCTATATATAAATCTAATATATATCCTAAGTCGCGCTTTCGAGACATGAAGAACGCAATTTGAATTTTGTCAATCGGCCCAGTAGATCGGGAGATATAGGACTGTCCCATTTTTTTTTTTTTTTTTTTTTTTGAGCAGTGTACGTATCGAGACTGGATGAGAACGCCCGGAAATCACAAATAATAGGAAAGAATAATAGTAATATCCCAAGGACTTACATTGAATCATGGCGCGAGAGAAATGAGGGTATTTATGCAAAAACAGGGCTATCTGCCTAAGGGAAGGGATGCCCTTCGTGGAGGACTTTCTAAGGGAAACTGGCTCGTATACACGTTACACATGGGGAAAACCACGAAAACACCCATGCAGCCAGCCCGTTCGCGGGATTCGAACCTCGGACCGAACTACCAGTGTTCAGCGATTTTACCACTCGGCCCCTGGTGCGCAGGCGCGAGGATGAGTACTTACGGAAAGGAATGGTAATTCGTCAGCGATATTTATATTACGTCAGATGTAACTGTCTAGACAAGCTATGATTGTTTAAGTTGATTTGGTTTATTTAATTATGGAAAAGCACAATAGGGCTATCTGCCTAAGGGGAGGGATGCCTTCGTGGAGGACTTTCTAAGGGAAACTGGCTCGTATACACGTTACACATGGGGAAAACCACGAAAACACCCATGCAGCCAGCCCGTTCGCGGGTTTCGAACCTCGGACCGAACTACCAGTGTTCAGCGACTTTACCGCTCGGCCGCTTGCTTAATTTGAGGTTGTTACATAGAAGGATTTCGAATTCGAGATAATAGATGAACTTAGGGGGAGAGCACCAATTCTAGAGTCCTTAATTTTGAGGTCACCAATTATTTTTAAAGCAGCTATGGTATTTTCTTCTAGCTTACGTTCATAAAGTACGTATATGAGTGAAAAAAATATTATGCCATTAAATACATAAGCGAAACTGAAAATTTGAAACCATGCAAATGTTAAATTTCAGAAAAGGTAATTTCATCAATAATTTTTTAAATGAATTAATTATTTCTACTATACTTTCATTCATATTAAATTTAATCAATCTTTATTTTCAGGTTTAGGATTTGCTTTTGCAAATACCTTGTTTCAAGTTGTAGTAAACCAATACTTTGAGAAACACCGAGCTACAGCATCTGGCATCGCTTTATCTGGAGCTTGTGTCAGTAGTCTAGCATTTCCTATCATGATAGAAGCCATCTTGGACAAGTTCGCTCTGTCGGGTGGTTTCCTCATATTGGGAGGTGTCGTTATGCATGTGTTGCCACCTTCGTTATTGCTGAAAGCACCACCATGGGTTGAGAATCCACAGGAGTATGCCAGACAGTGTAAGCAAACCTCTAAACATTTCCGATTAATATTTTGGGTATATTATTGTTTAATTCTTCAGTTATTTTTTGGATTAGAAATATATTATCATTTATTGATGTGAAGTGATACGAAAACATTAAATATAAGCTCTGGTAAAAGATGAAATTATAAGCATTTTCCATGAAAACATCCTCCTCAAAAATCAAACTAATTTACTGTATTCAATGGCTAACTTAGCAGCATTCTAAAGTACCTATTATAAACATAATAATTTTAAGGTACTTTTTTATATAACTCGCAATAGATTATTATGATTTTTAATTTCTTGGCTACTAGTATGTATATGGTACGTAACTCTCCCATGTTATCTATGATTATGATTAAATCTTTAGGAACTAAAATTATCTAAAAGAACACAAGACGTATAATTCCAAAAATTTTTGTTTTAATGTTAAAATCTGTTTACAATTTTTTGTTTGCATAAAATAAATCCTAAAATACTTCTTTTTATATGTATATTGTTTACCAAAGTAGTAAATTATTTACGGCAGGATATTTATTTTTATATCTTTGTTTTATATTTAACTAGTGAAAGTACACGATGCCAGTTAAGTTAGATTGAGCGTAATGCATTTAACAACAGAGAGGACGATACCGATGTAGATGTAATTCTTCTCTAATAACGATGCAAATAATACGATTTATAATAGTCATACATTTTTCAGTCTGATGCGATATGGAATCCACATAAAAAATTTCGATAGAAAAATAAATTAAATCTCTCTCATTATATCAGTAACAATGGTACGCAGTTTTTAATGATTTTCGTCTTTCTAACGAAATGGTCGTAAGAGCTCAAGTTCCATCCAGTATTTCATCTATATTCAATTTTTATCGATTAAACATGGCAAACGTTTTATCATAAAATGATCAGAAATCAATAACGCGAACAATCAAACAAACACACAAACAGACGTTCTTATACATATAAAATATGTATAGATTGTGTAAAACTTACAATTTTTTTTATTAACAAACTGTACGATTTAGCGCTTTTAGATCTGATTAAAGTCGTACGAAGATGGGAGTAGTCGAAATGGCTTCCCACGAATTTTTGGAATCGGGAATAATGTACTTAATGTTTGGCAATGCTATTTTTATTTCATCGTAAAACTTAGAAATTTTTCATTATCAAATTTCAGTCTTCTGCGTGCAATTGCCAAACTTTTCGAAAGGCTTATCGAGTCTCGACTCACCACTTTTATTAATGAAAATAACATCATCAAAGACCATCAATTTGGATTTCGCCAGGGATTCTCAACGACTCAGCAGATCGCCCGAATCATGGAATTCATAGGTGAAAATTTTAATAAAAAGGAAGTAGTTGCTGTTATTTTTATGGACATAGAGAAAGCCTTCGATAAACTTTGGCAACACGGTCAAGCTGATGAACTATAATTTCCCACCTGCCATCATCCCTCTAATCGCTGATTTTTTTAAAGAGCAGAAATTTTCATGTTAAGATTCAAGATAACTATTCCACCATAAGAAAAATTCACGCGGGTTTACCACAGGGGTCGGTAATTTTCCCGCTTCTCTATAATTTATATATTAATGATCTCCCTAATATTGAAAATATTCTCACTGCGTGCTATGCCGATGACACGGCACTTTTATGTCACTCACTTAATCCATATCATGCAAGAAATAAACTACAGAATGCCACTGATTACATTTTACCCTGGTTTAAAGGATGGAAAATAAAAATTAACCCCGAAAAATCAAAAGGGATTTATTTTGAAAAAGGAAATATCCCTCAAGACTTCGAAAAAATTACAATGAACGGACAAATCGTGTCACGTGACCACCAAGTAAAATATCTAGGTGTTTATCTCGACCGGAAGTTAGCTTTCAAATTTCATGTTAATTATATCAGAGACAAAGCACAATGTGCCTTAATGAGCATTTACCCTTTAATGTGCAAATATTCGAAGCTAAATATCAACATTAAAAGAACATCCTATATACAGACAATCCGACCCATAATTTTATATGCCGCCCCGCCGTGGGCAGCTACTGCACGTTCAAACAGAGCAAAGCTTCTAAGTTTTCAGAGTAAAACTCTCAGATTCCTATCGAACTCTCCGTGGTTCGTTAGGAACACTGTCATCCATAATTCTCTAAAGATTTTACCATCAGATGCCGAATTACTTTCTTTCTTTGAAAAAAAAATTTTGAAAACAAAAGGTACAAGAGTTCTTTCAAAGGGAAAACAAGAGTTCTTTGAAAAACAAGAGGTAAATTTAAATATCTTCCATGTCTCCTGCAATGCCCTTATTTCACTTCCATTAGCAATTCTGAAACATGCTAGAGGGACAAATTATCAAATGATTTCCCGTTTCATCATCATGAAGTGAACTAATTACCATTTTGTAAGAAAAAGGGTTAAAAATACTTTTAGTGTTTGTAAAAGACTTCTATCAATCTTTTACCAAAACCCATACTACAGAAATAGCTTCCAAATGAAGATCTATAACATGTTAGTAGATTTTTGCATTTCTGAATTTGGGAATTACAATTTCACTTTCAAACCGTTGTAACTGGCTTCAAATGAAAAATTGTCAAAGTATAATTATTTTAAGATACTATAATAGCGCAACTTGTAGCATTTATTATTTAAATTAACCAGTCATTTATAATTTCAATCTTTCCTGTAACTAACTGTTTTCCTCGCCGGAAATGTATAAAATAAGTTACAATAAATTTAAGCTGAGGTTTTTGGACTGAAAGACAGAGCATGTTTATGCCTATCGAAACCACGTTACTAGGCTTCACCAGCTCTGACAAGATTGAAATTATTCGGTTATGCGTTATAGCTGCCGTCATTTAAATTATTACACCGGTGAGAAGCTCTCAGCCAACTTAGTATTAAAGTTAAATAGTGTAGTCATAACTACTAGCTTACATTTTAAATTTTGAATTTGACTGTTACTTTAAGTTGCATCGCCACAAATATTGACTGATTATGCGAGCACGAGACGTTCATTTTATGTTCATGCTCTGATTTAAATATAAAGGTTTGTTTTGAACCTTTTAACGCAATAATTCGTTGAGCCAGAATTAGGAGTTCTATGCCAGTTTATGCTGTTAAATGAAGTAATATACTATAAACTCAATAACTGTTTAATAATGTAAAAACAGGTATGGGATATTATCATGTATCAAAAGATATATATACTTCTAATACGGTCAAGACAGGGCTGCAAATATACAAGTTTGTATGAAAGAAAATAATGTTAAATGAAATATTAATAAAATAATTCTTGTGTAATAAAGCAATAGAACAGGCGTGGCTGCAAACGTATCTGCGTGGCTACAAAGTAGGTGTTATATGTTGAAATTCAGAAAAGTTTGGGAGTCGCAATGAAATTTTTCTAGAGCCATGAGTCCGTCTTTGCATCATTATAAAAGTAATTAAACAGGTTTTAAATGAAACAAAGCACCTGATAACTTTGTAAAAAGAAATGAAATTAACTGATTATTTTCTTTTGGACACTGAGTAGGTTTAGTTACCATAATTCATGCATACATTTTATTGGCATAAGGATAGTGCCCTGTGGAATAAAATGATGCATATACGCAAAAAAGTTTTAATCTCGCTTTGACTTCGTATTTTACATTAAATTCATTTCCAGCCGTGTTATTATGTTAACACAAAGAAGATGTACTATTTCTAATTTTTGTAAATAAGACAGAAATTTAGAAATTTTGGGATGCCAGTTTCGGTTATCTTAGTATAGCACTTTTATTCACATGAAACTATATAAAGATATAGATATATTTTACCAGTAATATATATCTACTTGCTTTTATCCGAACGTTGGCTGCATTACTGTTGATACTGGCATGTCTTATTACTGTATTGAGTATTTTCAGTACAACTTAACTACTTGTCCCTTAACATGCATTGAAAACTTAAAGATGCACTTGTTTTAATTTTCAGTCTCGCTGTAAATCACGGCAGACGGTTCAGACGGGAGTAAAATCGCGACTCCAGGTAGTCAAATAACAGCAGACGGGAGTAAAAGAGAATGTGCAGAAAATATTGAAACTCATATAAATCAATACAATGTGTTATTAGCTAATTTAATCTGCCCGAATTACTCATTATATGCCATATTTCTTTCTAATAACTTCCTCTTTTTATTCCTGATAAACGTGAGATTGAAAAAATAGCACAAAAATTGTTCTAGATTATCTCAGATTGGAACGAAACATCAAGTAACTTTCATAGCAAAATAAAACCAACTTTAAAGATGCGAAAAATGCTAAATATTCTGTAAACATACCAGGAAACAAAAAACATAAGCATTTAAAAATGTGATTTCATTGATTTCTAAAATGTTGAGATACTGCAATCGAGAAATACGTAATTTCATCAACAAGTTGCAACCGACGTAACTTACAGAAATCGCAGTGCCAAATATTAATCATCATTGCCAACTCAGAGATAACATTGAATTTCAGTTAGGGGGGAAACATTACTCAGTTCGCATTATGACAATGCGTATGTTCAGCAAAATAAAGTGAATTTTAAATGTTAATGATTTTAGCTTTATTTAGCTTACCGTAGCCTAGGGGGTAAATTTTTCTCACGCTACGAAGTGTGGTCCTACAAAATTTGAGAATGAATCCATTAAAAGTCCAGAACTGAAAAAAAAATCAAAATAATTACTATTGTGTTGTAGTGGCCGAAACCGCTATGCAAACCCTGGGTTGTGACATCAGGCTGAAAACAAAACACAGCATAAAAAAATTTATTGAATGCTAAAAAAATGGCTACGTACAATTCTGAAGAGAGAAACCTATCTTTTTCAAAAATCAAATTCTATACATCAATCGTGCGAGAGCCATACGTGGCTCTCGAGCCTGCGTTTTTAACATTGCCAACAATTTAATATTATTTTAATAAAACTATTTTTTAACAACTATTGAATATTATTTTAAGTTAACAATT